TTCGTTTAAATAATCACAATTTTTTTTATATTAGCAACAATGCAATAGCAAATCACAATTTCACATATCAAATTTTTGATATTGCTACAAGAGCAATTTAGTCATTTGTGTAAATTCGTTAATGATAGAAAAGTCTTTAAAAAATGTAATAAAATTATGACATTTTAAAAAATTAGATTATTATTTATATAATTAAGAAGATTTTTATTTTTATTTTTATTTTGTTCTTTTTTATTTTAGATGCAATAACCTTAATAGGGGAGGAGAATTTAGTTGCAAGTTGTCAAAAGGAGAAAAGTAAGTTCTAGAATGGTAAAAGACGTAAGTTATACAGCGTCGAGTCCTGGGCGAATTTTATAATAGCATGAAATATCAATTCAAAATATCACTTGAATTTTATTTTATTTTTAATAAAAGAATATCATGTCCAAGTTATTTGGACAAGAGCATTTGTTGATCGTTGATTACGATATTGGGGGGACTTTTAGCAATGAAAGGTGGCGCTGTACATTCTTGACCTAACCATCGAAATTCTCACTTTTATTTTAGCATTTTTGACCACTTAAACGTTGAACACGCTGCAAGGACCATGGATCACAGAACTGAGTGCTTCGCAGATACAGTGATCAATTTCCACTAGTATGACTTGCTCTGGAAAAATAAATGTTGGATGTTGAATGTTATTCAATTTGTAAATTCTGCATGATGCATAATGCTTTTTAGTATACTTCCTTTTTTGTACAATTCTTTCGCTTCTTTACGATCCTATTCACCAGAGTGTTTCTTTCGCTTCTTTTCATTGCTATTCACCAGTCTCTGAGATAATATTATATTCCAAGTTAACGGATCTGTAGAAGTAGAATTGCAATTCTTTGCTATTTCCCACTTTAATATAACCAAGCAATCCAGCTTTTTGAGCCTTACACTTTGTTGACACGCAAGTTCTTTGGTTTGTTATGCTGTTGACGGTCGTTCTTAAAATCCCAAAACAGAGATAGCAAAACAAGCCCAATCTTTCAATCCAAACCATTAGTTCACATATTGAATTCAATCACCTCAGCTATAACGAACTCAGCAACACGCAACACATGCAGTGTCAAAGAACGACGAAACTAAACCATATCTTATCAAGATCAACAATGATTGTCAACAAATTGGAAGATCCCTCTCAATCCAGCAGAGGAAAAGAATTCTGATCTTTAGGGTGTAATATTGATTATTCAAAACTCGTCATAAGTGCAAATAATGTTAAGAAATCATCATCTCCTTCAGATTACATAGCACTTCGGCAAACAAAAAAAACTAAAGGGGAAAAATCAGAGCTATCTAGTTAAAGCAACCAAAATTTCCATTTTCCATTTAAAAAAGAATTCTAAATTCCGTCCGCGTTCAGGGGGCGATTTTTCTTCCTTGAAGACAAGACACCACGAGCAGACACAAGATATATCAAAATCATCTCGCATACCTCATGCATGACTGGTCTCACTGGTCTTGTCAGTTTCGCCGGTCTTGCTGGGTTGAGGATTCTGAATCTTTTTCTCATCTCCTTCCTTTGCATCCCCATTAGAGCAATGATTCTTCAGAACCAAGGAAATGTCAGCCTCAGAAGCTCCTGCAAGCTTAAAGCGCTCCACGGCAGTATCCAGATTTTTCTTCCAACCACCCATCCCTAGCTTGCATTCAACTTGGGATCTTTCAAATAGCATATTCCCCCAGAAGAGGTGAATCTGTGATCTCATGACAGCTGCTTGCTCTGCAGCTTCTTCTGCAGATATATCACAATGGACACCAACTGCAGATGTCTCGCCTTCAGTACCACCTCCCTGTTTTTTCCTTCTTCTCAGTAGTTCCTCTTTCTTGCTTGCACTAGGATCTTTTAGCTCATTTGCTCTCTGTGCCTCCAGCTTTTCCCACATATCAGTTGCAGCTTTCATCTTCTCCTCTGCACTAACAAAAAGTTGAAGTGTTTCAGAAGAATCCCAGGATGATAAGTCCATCTTCTTAGCAAGAGCAAATGACCAATTAAGTTTGGCCATTTCAAATTGTTGCTGTCCCAGAGCCAGCAATCCCTCATAGAAGTCTGGTTTTATTAAAAGGGCTTCCTCATACTTCTTTCTTGCCAATGAATATTTTTCCTTGACCCACTCATAAGCCACTTGAAGCTGTTCTGCCACTTTGTCCTTTTCACCTGACTCATCTAAGGGAATTCGTTTTCTAGCTGCACACATGTGAATGTTTCCCCAATTGAAGAATGCCAAAGCAGCTACCTCTTGGAACTTTGAAGCGGCTTTGTCAAAGAGATCTTGAGCCTCCTCACTAGTTATTGTTTCCTCCAGCGCCTCTGAACAAAGCTCCATCCCCAGCTCATGCAAGTCAATATGAGCATCTGGATCAATACCCACATGAGAGCGGAAAAGCTGAGCAAATTCAAACAACCAATCATCCATTTCCACTTCCTTGCATTCAGCATCTTCTGTAGTAGTTGGTCTCCCCTTCGGAGCTTCTTTCCCTATCTTATCGACCTCAGGCTCTGGAGCCTCTGGGACAGATTCACTGTGAGAAGTATGTGAACCACTCTCATCTCCCTTGATGCCTTCATTCTCAGGTTTTACTTCCTCTTCTTCCAGTAAAGGAGGCTCCTGCTCAGGACTAACTTCAACAACATGAAGTCTCAATATGGCAACTGAATCACTTACATCTGCCTCAGGCTCTTTCACAAGATGGCTATCAGCACAAGATTCTGCCAGTCTAAGCTCATCAGTAGATGTTATTGTCACCAAATCACCATCACTATCCTTATACTTGATCAGAACTGACTTTGATGATGGAAATCTTTTACTCACTGTATCTCTTAGCGTTCTAAAATTGCAATTAACTGGCATCTGAGCAAGCCTAATGTCATGATCATAAATAAGTTTCAATGGCCTCCATCGAATTGCAACATCTAAATGCTGTCCATGTGTAATTGATGAATATGATGAAAGTTCATTGTGGTTCTCTTTTCTTGAATTTGGTGATCTTGCTGAAGCACTTGAAGGCTTCAACACAACTTTTGGCATTTGTGACTTGGTCTCAGGACCATTTTCAGTAAATAAAGGTGGCTGGGACTTCTCTGTCTTACTGTTAGCAGGAGCAACTGATCCAACTGCTGAGTTAGCCGCCTTCTTTGGTACCGGCCGGGCCGGTAAACATGGCCCTAGACCAGCAATAGGGGCACCACGAACTGCAGAAGCACCAAGGGCAGCAGGGGAGGGCCGACTCTGAAGATCCTGCTGGGCTTCCTGGCGAGGACCTAGTGCTGTCCTCAGTCTCTGGGCAATCTCCAGAGCATCCCGATGGTTAGGGTCCGCTGCCAGTAACCCTTGTACATCCTGCATGGCCATTTCATACTTACCTATAGCCTCAAATGCCCGAGCCCTCCGAAGAAGTGCCCGGACATATTGGGGCTGGACCTGCAATGCCATGGTGCATTCAGCAATCACAGTTTCATAATCTATGGGCTTCATTTGCATCAAGCATGCTGCCCTATTGCTGTGAAAGACCGCTCTCTCAGGGTGAGTCTTGGGGGTAAGTCGAAGAGCATTCTCATACTGCTCAAGAGCACCAGCATAGTCCTTATTCTGAAATCTCTTATTCCCTTCTTCCTTGAGCTCAAGGGCTCTTTTCAAAAAGATTGAAGAGTCTAAATCCACACCACCATTAGAACTTGGAGCTGAATTATCAGCAACAACTTGATTTGAACCACCCTTCTTTTTTCTACCCCCGGATTTCCCCATATAATTCTCCCTCTCTCCTGCTCACTCAGGCACACACAGTGGCAGAGTCCCAATCAACTATTCAAACAAATACTCAATCAAATAGAAGATAAAGTATCGAACCAGCAAACTCGCGACCTTTCAGAACTTTAAAATTCTATCCCACGAAGCCGACACCAAAGAGAAATAAGGAAGACGATGTACTTACAAGTTAAGATAAGCTGAAAGCTTCTTTGTTTCTTTCCTGCGAGAAGGGGTAATCCCTGCGATTGCCCAGCTGATAGCCAGAGGAAAACTCTAGAAGGAGATAGAGTGCGGGGTTTTAGACATTTGGCAATAAGTTGAAACCCTAGAGAGAAGGGTTCCTTTAGCATTTCAGATGATATACCAATATTAGATTCAGCCATCAGGACCCGAAAATGGGCCCCACGCATTCCTCATCCTCAACCGTCAGATCTGAAGAATCTCAACACCTCCTGATCTCGACCCTGATGGCGTCAAGCATTCGCCTGCCGTTTCTGCGTTGACGCGTAGCCGATAACTGATGAATCACTATTGCCTGTCCGTGATCGAAGGCTATTTTCGTAAATACAGCAGTAGGGTAGACAAAGAAATGCTCTATAAATTGCCCAAAAAACTTGCGGGCCGCGCCGTGTGGCTGCTAAGAAAGGCGATTTGTGGATTAGGGTTATCAGGCGTTGTTTCTATTCATCCCATTCTTGGCCTCTTAGCCAAGATCGAATGTAGGGGTTGTATTCGTTCATTCTTGGTGTAATTTAGAGGCCTCTGTAGTCGACAAGAGATAATGGAGAGACTGTAACGAGTGTCTCTGCCATGAACGAACAGAGAGGTACAGTGATAATTGGCGAGTCATCGTTTCGGTCGTCATTTGTTAGGATTGGCGAATCGATTGTTCCTCGTCTACATTGCTTAACTCTCCTAAAATTCTTCCTTTCTATTTTCTTTGAGATTGAAGTTGCCGTGCGAATCAAAATCAAAATCAACTGAATAGTCCGTAGGTATCCTCATTTAGATTTTCTTCTTTGGGGTTTTCAATGTTATCAACACTGGAATTCGGAGATTTAACTTAAAGAGGAGAAATTGTGTTTAATTAATTTATTAACTATTGGACGGTTAAATTAATGAAATAAAATTAATAAATTTATTCAAATCAGGACAAAAATTTAAACTTCTACAATTTTTTTTTTTTGGGGTCAAAAGCAGATTATTGGAACCAAATGATGGCGGAGGTATTTGGGAAGAGGGAGGCACTCTTGAGGTTTATGTAGATTCCAAAATGTTCGCAGGTGCGCAGTGGAGTTTCAAGATTTTATCTTCCTCCCAAGGACCTCCCTCATTTGATTTTTTTTGACAATTTTTCCAAAAATATAACAAGTCAGGAGTATTTGGCAGCTTTTCTATAGAGCTAGAAAATTGAGTGTCTTGCAATCCCGTTGTACTCTTGCTGTTTGCCTTCCAGATTCCTCCTTCAGGTGTAAATGTTTTAGCTGCATTGATGTCGTTTTGGAAGTACTAAAATTGTGCTAGAGGGCCTAACTCTGTGTATTTTCTTTCAAGCTTTGCTTGCCTTTCTATAAGAAAAAAAAAAAGAACTAAAGTGTATCCAGTATAACATAGAGGTGGATAAATTTGAGCATCGGTATTCATGTATGATGTGAATGTAACGCGGAATCACATCTGCTCTCAGACCCAAGTCGGAGCCGTGACCAAATAGCACCGAAAAATAAACCAAATATAAAAAGATGGTCCGAAGATTCTTTCAAGAGCAAACTATATTAAGATAAAATGACCAAGTAAAATTAAAGTTGCAGATGACACAAAGCGTTGCACAATCGAAGGAAGCTTGCGACAATGGAAGAAGCTGAGACAAACTCGCAAATTAAAGGATGCTTTGCGTCCAAAGCAAGAGAGCAAGAGAGTGTGCAACCATCAACATTGATCAGAAGATAAGTGATCGAAGAGCAACCCTGTCGAGCAAACTCATAGGATTGTTAGGTTGCCATATATTAAAACAGCTACTTCCAAACATGATGAGGGTACCCCAACGGCAATGGGTAATCATCTTCATTCAAACAACCCTTAGTAGTTATCTAAAACAAGGAAAGAAAAAGAAACCTGCAAGAAGAGAAGGACTACTCTGACCATGACAATTTTCAAATGCTAAGAAGTGAATTTATAAATTTGAGGACGCAATGCAACTAGCATTAGCATTTCTTTATCTGTCATCAGCTTTACAAGAAAAGGGGATCGATTGATCACAGAAATGCTTGAATAAGTACAAAAACCATCCAAACTACTCAATGTAAACTAATAAAATGTTACATTGGAGGGGTGTTGGCCAAGGAAGAAAAAGGAAGGGAACGTGGGGTTTTTTGGATTTTTCTATTTAACCTTTAGAGAGAGGAGGAGGAGGAGAGGAGAAAAATGGGGGCTTTGTTCTGATATGAGTCAGAGTAATTAGATTGAGCTTCTACGTTCACTCGTTGGTAATATGTCCCAAAAAAAATTGGAAGGCATCACAGTGCTTCGCTGTAATATTCAGGGGAGGATGGAACACCATCCTGAAATTTGTCAATACTGTGTTTTTGTGCGGATGAAAATGACGGTGGCTGGGGTTTAAAACCAGAAATATCAAACAATTCTATGAAACTCTGATCTGACACTCTGGCTTTGGCAGCTGCAAAACTTCGATACTCATCCAAAATGGATGATAGACACCATCTTTGCAATCTTCTTAAGCATCCCACAAGACACCCAGTGCGGTGCTGCTTGCAATAAAAACAAAAACATACATACATATATATATATATCAAAAAATCCAAATACCAGTACAAACAATCCCGAGAGAGAGAGAGAGAGAGAGAGAGAGATCAACAAGTAAGTGAATACCTTCCCTCTTTTGCAATGAATGAGCAATGGATGGTTCTCAACATCTGGTACAGGGATAGAAAAAAAGGCATGATTTAGGTTAATAAATCCCTCAACAACCTGTGCTATATAGTTCGTGCATTAATTCAAGTTCAAGTACTTGTGATACCTAGTATAACTTTCAATGCCTCACGAATTGCATCTTCCGGGACTTCCGTCAAAGAATCCTGCTCATAGTAGTGTTGTCAATGTAGAGATCACTACTTTTTTTTATGCTATGTAGTCAGCATTAAGTAAACCAAGACATCTCAAGGGCATCGACATTATAGAAAAATTTCATGGCAGGTTGCATAAAAGCAAGTGCAACAATTGCATAGGAGGCCAGGTTTTATAAATTTTGCCACAGAATTTGCTTTCAGATAAGAAAAGTAAAAGCTGCATTAAGCAAGGAAACCTGCAACGGCAGGAACTACCTAGGAGTAGCACTTTTAAGAGTACCAATACTAACTTGCCTTCTATGAAGACCAGTTGAAACAGATTGAATAACATGATTCATAAAATAAGGTTATCTGTTTTTTAAGCATTTTAATCCCGAAGCTTTTCTGGATTACTTGAAACAGGCTCCAAACATTTACAGTCCCAATCCGCATGAATTTGCACAAAATCAAGCCAATGGTCCAGCAAGACCTGGATTCTCTTTGAAGTTCCAACTAAAGTAGTTTTATGGCAATGTGTGAGATGGATTTTATGGCAAATACAAATGATATTGTCAGCAGGGTATAGGTCAAGAAATTAGTTAACTTGTCTTAAACATAAACATGATAAGAAATTGGCAAGCATAAGAAGACTATAGGAAAAACAGGTCAGGCAAAAGCTGAGAACCAAACATGAGAATGGTAAGAGAGCGGCTGGATAAGAAGGTAAATATGGATGATCAGCTTCTGGAGTGAGGAAAGAAACTCCACAATGCCTGTTTTAACTCGTAGTATTTGGCCCATTACTTATACACAGGTCATGCTTGCCAACTCTCTGCATCTTCTTAGAATTCAACCATTTCGACGTCGTTATTATCCTTCGTCAAATCTAATCTCTCTGTTTGAGGTGATACCTAGCCGTACGATTTTTTTACACCAATTAATTATCCGTGCGAGTCCTTTTCGAGAAACTTCCTTGGAACAAGAATTTGCGAGGCCAATCCATTCAAAGAAAATTAATAAGCCTGCAAAACCATCCACCATTAGTGGCAATGGGTTGTGCAAGCTAGGGAAACCTCAAGTCAAATGTGGCAAACACAGTCCAGTGCCAGTAACCTAGATTCCAAGGAAATAAAAAAACCTCATCTAAACTATCTTGTAATGTGACAATATTTTATGAGATCATCTTCATTAGCGCTTTCATGATGACAGCCCATTGCTCCCAAAACTAACTCGTGTTAAAGCATCATGCAGTGGTGTGCGAACCAATCGGCTCAAAGTTAATGGCCAACCAACAAAAAAGTAGTCAAAAAATAAAAAATAAAAAGGCAAATAAAATGATCCAACTGTAGAGGAGCACTTCAGACTATATAGGGCAGTCAAAAGAAGAGAAAAATCAACAAACCTTAGAGCCATCGATTCCAAATTGATAAAGCCTTATTCCATTGGCCTTCAAAAACTCTAAATTGGTTTCTGGATACTCATCAGGGAACAAACATCTGCACAAAGCAATAATCCCGACTATGTTAAAATTTAGAAATCCGTGGGTTATACAAATAGTGAAGGGCACCAGATTCATTTACCAAACTAACAATTATTATAAATTGAACTCACATAATGGAACGTAGGCGAAGGGTTTTCAAGAATCCGAAACTGGCAGAATCAGGAAAGCCAGATCGAAAAATGCCATAATCGACCATCCCGAAGTTGAGAGGAGGCATCAACATCTCCTCCCCACCCGTTCCGGTACCGTCTCCGTTCTCGACAGGCGCCCGCTGCTGCAAAATACCGCCGGCGAAGGATTCGGAAGCCTCGCTCGCCATGCGCAACAACTCGCCGTTGGTGATATCCAACGTCATGATTTTGGCGCCAAAATCTCGGGCAATCAAAAAAGCAATCAGAAAAGACGTTTCAAAAATCAAAAAAGTGATTCTCGGAATCTATATAGAGAAACTTTGACAGCAAACAGACTTTTAAAATCCTAATCTGATTCGTCAAAAATCATTGCATAAAATTGCGAAGCTGACCCTAAAATTATTCAGAAAATAATTTCAGCAAAAAATCTAATCGCAATATTAATACCCAAAAAAGCGCTGGCAACTGAAAAGACAGCGATAATGGAAGAAGATAGTGTTGGAATTGAGTTGAACAAGCCGTTAAGCAGCGCTGGTGAAGATAACTGAAGCTAATTTTCACGTAACAAGCAAAGAGAGCTAGATTTCTGTTTGTTTGGTAATGTGCATTGAATTGCCACCGAGTTGAAGTCCTCTGAATCTGATAACAACTGAGTTGAATTTTCTTGGCTGACTCTGATTACAACTTTGTAAATATACTTGATAGGGAAGAAAATGCTCTTGGACATCTCCATTTATACACCCAAACAACGTGTTGGGGGCTACATTTTGGTCATTGGCATAAATTTTTTTTTTCCACCGTAATTTTTGAATTCTTTATTACAATTTTTATCCTTTATATAATTTTTAATATAATTTTTTTATAATTTTTTATTAACTAACCATCAAAATTAATTTTTATTGACAATATGACTAAATTATATCATTTTTAGAAAGCTGAAGAAACAATTTATATAATAAATAAATTTGTTGTCTATAATGCTACTAGATTTAAAAGTTATTGCTCATTTACTCTTAAATTAAATTTTATATTTTGAAGAGTGAATAAGAAAAGAAAAATACTAAGATACTATTTAAATAATTTTAAATTTTATTTTGAATTTGCTCTTGTTCGAGAGTTTGTTAAAAAAGATCTAAAAAATTACATTGGTGGGTGGCGGGTTGGGATGCCATATGCGTTTGAAGATTGTTTTTCTAGACCAGCTTTATACATTTGAAGATTCGATTATTCAGCTCTATTTACTTTCTTTTTTCTTGGTTTTTTTTTTACCAAAATAGCTCTATTTACTTTAAAATCCTATCAAATTGGAAAGAAGATCATTACGGTAAAATCACATTTTTTATCTTTAAAAATTATTTTTTTATTTCAAACTTTGTAAAATAAAAGAAATTGAAAAATCTACTGCACACAAATGCACAAATATAATATTTTTTAGAAAAATTAATATATAATTTAAATCATAAATTATAGGTCTAGAAACAATTTAAACTCTAAACTTTTAAAAGATACATTCTGAATTTTAAATAATTAAAGTTAGGCAGTTTTACCCTACCATTAAATTTCAACAAATGTTTATTAATTTTTTAAAAATTAAAGCCTGATATGTAATTTTTACCAAATTTCACTCTCGATCTCTCTCCTATTCAGCTTTGATGAAAATCGCACATTAAACCTCAATTTGACAAACATTTGGTTAAACTTAATGGTGGGAACGAAATTACTTCAATTTTAATTGTTTGAGGTTCAAAATATACGTTTTAAAAGTTTAAGATTTAAATCATCCTTAAATTTAAAATTTAAGGTTTAAATTATATATTAACTTTTTTTTAAAATCACTTGTATTTCAAAGAGTGAATAATAAAAGAAGTGATAGGAAAATGCTAATTTTTTTTTATTACTTACAAAAATTGTTTTATTGGAAACAGCTATGATTGATGTGCGGTTAGACAATATATGTAGGCATATTTTTTTAATAAAGATTTGAATCTTAATTCTCTACATTTATTATTTATCATATCTCTCTTTATTGATACTTTTATAGTGCATTTGGATTGATAAGGATTTAAATTTAAATTTTGATTTAGATCCAATTCTCCGTTTAGATGCACAATTCAAATTTAAATTCATTTTTTATTCTAATTTATTTGTAATTTTAAATTTCCTCCACAAATCCCTTGTTCAAAATATAAACCTTAATTTTTGTCTCTTCAAATCCCTTGTTCTTTTTGTGCTTTCGTTGTTGACTATCTTTTGTCATTTCTTGTTCTCATCTCTCTTCAACTAAAAAATAGAAGCAAGCTCAATAGTCTTTTTTTTTTTTAACTTTGAATATCAACCTTATTTTTATCATTAAAAAAATTACCTTAATTTATTTTAAGTTTAAAGTTCACTTATTCTGTTTAATTAAAAAGTATAAAAATAAGCACAAAGTTTTCTCCTTGACTTCTACATTAGATTCAATTTAGTCAATGTACTTATGTTGCGAGAGCAGTTGAGTCACTTGTTAAATTTATAACAAATAAGTATAAAAGAAATTCAAAGTGGAAAGTGAAATTGGCACGAGGACTATGTTAAGAACATAACAACAATTATCATTTAAAAAGAAAAGATAATTTTATACATATATTCTTGTTCATTTTTTTTAAACAATTTTACAACTCTTCTAGGGAATTAGTAAACCATTTAAACACGAGTTGCACATAGTTAAAAATTTTAACCCTTTATTTAGATGAAAAAAAAATAAAGACAAATGAAAATCTAGGAAGAAAAACTCTTAAAAAATTATTGTTAATTTTTTCTTTTAGTTTTCTTTCTCCCTTATTCTCTCCCTACTTTTCCATCCATCCAAACCAAACCGATAATTTTATTTAGATAAAGGAAAAAATGGAATGAAAATAAGAAAAAGGAAAAACTAAAAGGAAAATTTTCCAAAAATAGTAAATTTTTTTTATTATTTTTGAGTTGCTCCTCCTAATTTTTCTTCCATTCTATTTTTTTTCCAATCCAAACAATGCATAAGTATTTACTATTATTATCACTTGTATTCATTTTCCCCCTTTTGAAGGACAAATATTTTCTAATCAACAAACAAGTCAGCCAACATTAAATCCCTACGCGATTTTAAGAACACACATTCCAATGTGAGTTTTTAGGCCCATATAAACATGCTTGAAGACATTATTATCGCATTAGAGCTTAAGATTGTCTCAACAAATAGGAAATTAATTTCTGTCCGCGGTAGCCTTTCTTTCCCAATAGACGTACATCAGATAGTGTTTCTGTGTATATAAAATTTTAAACAATATAGTAATAATTGTAATTGTCCACTACCTCGTTGGTTTTCCTGTGTTCTGTTGACTGTATTGTCGCATACTTCACTTCACCTTATGAGGATCAGAAGCAACAGATTTCTTTATACAATCTACAATTCCTTCACAGTCCGTCGCTCCAAGAGAACAGACTGAGTCATCTTCGAAAGCAGCATGTTCTACATGTGAATGTGGTGACCTGAGGTTCCCATGGGTTTGACAGGCCTTCATTGTCTTACAGTGTTCAGCTTCATCATCTCTGATATTTACAAAGACATCGTACAGATTCTCTGCAGGGGAAAGTCATGATGGCGCATAATCAAATAATTAATTTTCTAGTTTCAATGCATAGCCTTAAAAAGAACCCGACATGGGCATATATGGATTTTTCCTGAGGCAATCATCTTAATATATGGAAATTCCAACAAAATCTAACATGAATTGTTTCAATTGTCAAAGAACGCAAGAACTCAAAAACGTTTTAGTTTTTTTTTTCCCCTGTAAAGCTAAAAGTTTAGGCGGCTAAATGAAAGCCCACAGCTCGAATGCGGCGGACAAAGTACGGGTTTAGATCCCTTCAACTCTAAAAGCTGGTTTAATGAAAGGTCATAGTTTTGTTCCAATCTTTAACTGGTTGTATCAAACACATCGAATTCATCAATCAGTATATCAATGCAAATCAGCCAAGGGTGCAAAATATACCTATCTTGGGCCTTCGAGAATTTGGTAATCGGGAAGTTTGAAATTCATCTGGGAGAATGAGATCGGAAAAATGTGAAAAATCTAGTTTTCTCACCATTAGATAACCATATTTCATCAAAATGAGAAGCTTACCAAATAAATACAAGTCACCTCCTGTGTAATAATTCACAGCCACCTTAGGTGCAGGCATTTTTTTCAATTCCTCTACAAATAAATAAAATCATGTCATATTATTGAATTGGATAAAGAGAAAGAAATACATAACATACAATGCATGAAGAAGAGTGAGGAAATGCGATTAGACCCTTCATCATCCAATATATAATCAGACATCCAAGAGTAATCATAGTAAGATCATTCTTATTTTTATTCATTTTTTTTTTAGAAATTCATGTCACTTTTTGGCATGTGTACTGATCAATGAGATCAAATTGCCACATGGTCAAAATCAATATTGAAAATAAGTTCATAGAAGCCAGACAATTAATTGCTGGTCTCAACATAAAGCCAGAATGAGCTCAACTTCTCATTATTCAGCCCAATATCCCATCCTTTTTAATTATTTTCATATTTGATTTGTTGTAAGCAAGAACTGATATTGTGATAATATTCTGAACGAGCCACTTAATGATGACAAGGTATAATCAATATTACCAAAAACAAGTCAATCTTGATAACAAAAGAAGGAAAGGGAAAAAAAAAAAGATTTCTCCATACCTCCTTGGACCTTGATAAATTTGTCATATGTTTCAAATGCATGACTCTCTACGCATTCAGAAAAGTGATCTGCACTAGTCATAAACCAAATCAGCAACTGAGAAAGCCAAACAGACACGTACCAACTTGTAAGAATACACATGTCATCAAACATATATTTAATGTTCTGACGACTTGGCTATTGTGACCAATGTCAATTTATACTTTCTTTTTCGTTTGAGCAGCACACGAGTATTATACTATTATTTAGTTCAGTATTCTAGTTGCTCATCAAGCTCAGTAACATTGCTTGATGAAATTTTACTTTAATCTTTTTCTGCCCGTGATGGTGGTCCAAAGAAGACCATAACATCACAGCTACTTGTTCAATTACTCTTCAAGTTGATCACCCTTATAACTACTATTTAAAGATAAGCAGGGTTCTTCTGTCTTTTCCAGTGTGCCATTTTTAACCATTGGTACCTTCAAAATCACTTATCACACAGCTTTTTTCTGGGACATACTTTAATAATCTTCCATGATGATCCGACATTTCAAACAGCCAAATAAAAGATGAGGCACGGATTATGCCCCAAAAAAAAAAAAAGATGAGGCAGGGACAAAAGTGCAGCAAATTCATATAGTTATTACTTACATGCCATTCTTGGGCTTATTGCATACATAATAACTGTCATAACATAATAAACTATGGCAATATGTTGGGCGAGAAATCGGTCAAACCACCAGGAATTGCCCCCTAGTTCCTGCAATCGGATGAACAAGCATCTAAGTTCTCACATCCAAAAAAAGATATGTAAATAATGTCAACCGCATATGCATGTTTGCAAATAACAGACTTGCAACTAGTCCGGCAGTTCCTAAAGAGTAAAGATCGGTCCTCCAGAGCAATATCTTCTAAAATGATACATATCAATAGTCCAATGTTATATTGACTTTTCAGACATTTAGCATAAGATAAGTCCTGCAGAGCAATGTCTTCTCAAACGCTACACTTTAGTAATCCAGATTCCAGCCTAAACAACAAAAACTACAAAAAAACATACTTTGCTTCTACGGGTTTCATCCCTCAATAGAATTTCAGAAGTTTACAAGAAAATTTCTTGTAACACTTAAGCACTGCGTAGTGCTCAAATTAACATGTTATTTTAAGGGACACGTACTGTTTGGCTACATTTTACTAGCACCAAGTATTTAATACAATTACCACAATGTTCCAAGTACTAAGCCTCTACGAATAAGAACAATAAAAGGATGAACAACTAATGGGATTTTAATTAAATTACATGGCAACAGCAATATGATTGATTTTCCTTAGCTGATAAAAATTTTCAGAAGATCTTACTTCCATGATGAGCAAATGATGCATTTCATTCCAGCTCTCAGCAAAATGCACTTTCAAATAGTCAGCTTGTCTCCACCAGCCAAAACTCTCATACATGTGGAGAACAGATATAAAGGCTGCCGTGCATAAAGATATATACAAATCAAAAGCCACAATGACAGTGCATGGTTATTACCAACATTTACATTAAATAGATAATTAACAAAGATGAAGGGTCCATAAGAACTTTCATGAATTATTTTTTACTAAATTAGATCTGATCCCAACACTAAGGTGTATTTTAAAAGAAAAACTGGAAGCTGAGATACACATCCACTTGTGTGATTTAATAGGGCAAAATATTTGTGCACATTTGAGCAATTTGCCATCAAGTTCTCCAATAAAAGTATGACCAATTATTTTTCTCCAGCTCAGCATTACATTATTAGGTCTTCAAAAAAAAAATTTGACAAATGTTGTACTGTGTTCATTAGAGTAACAACAAACAACTGAAGAACTTTACCAAAGTCCAGTTCATTTTTATATTAAAAATAAAATCATGATCATGATAACATATAAATCTAACAGCAAGGATTAAAGCACCCTTTTTCAGATATCAAGATTTCAAAGTCCTAACTTCCTATAACTTATTCAAAAAACAACAATAGAAAAGGATTAAATAAACAGTAGTTACCAAAGTAAGGAACTCTTGCAATAGTTTCAAGAACGAAAAACCTTGCATAGTGTCTATCGTGATAGAAAGCATCGAGTATCTTTATTACAGAATCCTGAAAATTTTAAGGGAACTGAAGACATGTTAAAACAAATGGCATGATAAAATTCAGTTTCTTATGGCTAAGCATCCATTAAAGCGGTATAGGTCAACGAAATGTTAACCATCAATTTAATCTGACACCTAGGAGAATGCAAGTGAATCATCTGATCAAAATTAAAGAGGATTATGAATCTTCGTCCACAAAGTATGGCCTTTATCATCAATTGGCATGAAAGTATACTAGTATCTATGTAAAGTGCAATCAAGTCTTTATGAATAGGTATTATGCGTGCATTTTATTAGCTTGGAAATATGATGTTATTTATCAATGATGGTTTGTAATTAGAATGAGAATTCAAGGTTTGGTGAATAAGCTTCTACAAGCAACATACAAAAAAGATGGTTTGTCATTCCCTAGTTCACTCATGAATAACTCAAGTCTGAGCAACAGAAAAATATTTTTCATTTGTTAAGTGGTCAGCAAGGTTGGACGGACCTAATGCTAATTAATACTATCGCTGACTGACATAAAATACATTATCACTTCCGAACATGTGATAGAAAAGATAAAATGAAACATATCTTAAAATGTATAACATTATATAACAATGAGCCGAATCTGTTCATATGTTCTGATTCATTGATTGAAGGAGGTATTTCAAGCCACCATGTTAAGATATTGACAAAGAAATTGTTACCGTGAGAAATATATTAGTAGATTGTTCAAGCTTGATAACCCATTTCTCCAACGTATTAGAGGACGAACTCGAACTTGACTCCCCACTACTTCCTTTATTGGTATCACTGGGAGAAATCTTGGATGGGACTGACTCTTCTACAATTACTTTCTCCTTATTATCTTGTAGAAGAGTTGCTCTGACCCTGGAAATGCATCAATGCAGATAAAGTCCTCTTGTAATTTACACGAAACAAATAAGGAATATAACATCAAAAAATTGCAATGTCCCCTTCATATTCACAAGGAAGGAAATCGCTAATTACTATTCTACTATTACCTTACAATTATCTGATTTTTTTTTAAGATATCAAATTAGCAAAGCTTATAAAATAATGCGTATTAATTTACCAAAAAAAAAAGGGAAACAAGAGGGAAAATTTCTAACTTCGCACCAAGTAACGCTTGAAGTAAAATTTGGGGGTATTTTCTGTATTCAGAACAATTCAAATTCGAACATCATATCTATATATTCATATCCTACCCATACCACGTATCAAAGAGGACCATACTTTGGAAACTGATAACGCACGAAAAGGAAGATAAACCCCACAAACCTGGGAGCCGATGCACGAGTTGAAAGGGGATTGTTGTGAAGGAAATTGATCGATGAGTATCCAGAACCTAAATTCTTCGAACTCCTTGCTTTGGCAGCTGAAGAAGACGAAATTGAGGGTGCAAAGATTGTAGAAGAAAAACTCGTCGCCATTACTCACTTTCTTAAGCAGTAGGAAAATCAAGCTGAATCAATGAGAGTTTAGGAGTTGATTGTTCGGAACTTCGAATTGAAAAAGAGAATAAAAAGTCTCGCACTGAGCCACTTAAGTCATGTTGAATTCTCAGCGATGAAGAATATTGTCGTTTTGCGAGTTTGGCTAGCGGGCAGCCAGAGAAGACGCATATTGTTTCGGCTCACTAGATAGTCAACAACTGCTACAAGTACCATCCCATGGGCAAACGCTGTAGCCCGAACTCGGATGCCATTAGTCATGAATGGAAATGATCTCGCCAAAACGCCCCAGCAAAACGACCCAGGGCTCTCGTCGTTTCAATGTATGCCTTTTTATCCCCCTCCATCCATCCTAAAAGGCAGTACGAAAGGTTTTTTAAAAAAAAAAAATAATTAATCTATAACGAAGGCAAGACATATTTTAGGCCTTTTTTTTTTAGTTACTTAAAGGGACAGGCCAGGCAGTAAAAAGTACAAGTGGGATTGAAATAAATTATATGATCATTCGTTATGTTAGACAATTATAAGGATACAAAAACTAAAACGAGACGAGCCGATTTAGCTTATAACTTGGTAAATCGGTTAATTAGTTGGTCCGATTTATGATCTAAACCAGCGTAGTGTCAATCTAAACTAACCTTGTTATAAATTGATAGGTCAACTTGGTCCATTTATTTGAAAAAAAATATTTTATTTTTATATTTTTATTGAGATTTTGCTGAATTTACTAGATTTTTGTTAGGATTGCGCCCACAAGCATAAGATTTTTTTCCCTTTATTAAATTTTTGTTAGGTTATTTGAGCAAAACTAATAATTTTTATTTAAATATTCATTTTTTATATTCAAATATGAATATTTTTACACATCTAGATTATATTATATTATTTTATTTAAGAATGGTTTGACTCTTGGTTGACCATTAGTTAAACCATTAACCATTGACTCACTGTATTGACATATTTAATGATAGATTCAGTTTTTAGTATTCTGGTATTTATGTGCAAAAATATTCATAAAAATACTATAGTGTAGAATATGTTATCAGGCTTTTGTTATAAGGGCATATATTTTTTAGTTTTTTAGAGAATCATATTCAAGAGTCTAGCAATAAATTTATTCATATACAAAGACTGATATTTAAAAAACAAACAAGTTAATATTTATATTTTAATAATAAATTATTTTGTATTGATCATTATTTGTGAATAAATTTTTTACGAAGTTTCTGGATGTGGTTCTTCTTGTATTTTTCTACTAAAAATGTTGAAAAAGAAACAAGGAGAGGCGTTTTCTTTTATATTAAATTTATATTAATGTAATAACCATTTACTAAATTGTTAAAAAATATTTATAGGTGATGGAACCAATTCTCACCATCTTAAACAAACTTTTGCTGGTTATGATAACGAATTGACGTTGATGCTATTTTTTTTTTTTTAAAAAAAAAGTGGGCTTATCGATGAATGGGCTAAAACCATAGGCCGAGTATGACCCAACTTCTACCTAGTGTACACAAAGTAGACTCCGCCTGGGCCCAGGGACTTGGCAAGTTGGCATTCACGTCATTGTAGAAGCTGTCAGACCACGTGGCTTGCTTTTTTTTTTTTTAACGGGAGCCTTAATCAATTTTTCTTTGGGAAAATGACAATATTAATGACAATTATATATATTAAGTTATTTAAATTTCAATTAAAGAACAAGGTCAGTTCTTATAATTATAAAATGTAAATACTTAATTGAAAAATTCACTAACTACAATTGAAATTATTGATACTATCAATTGAGAATTTATGAAAATTAACTAAGAATTTCAATTTTTTATTATTACATATAAATAAAATTTTAAAAAAATTAAATAAATATATTAAAATTATTTATAACATTAGTTAGAAATTCATCAAAGTCAATTATAAATTACAAGTTAATTACTTATAATTTTTTGCTTTCAATATATAAATAAATTACTTAAAAATTTTACTAAATACATTTAGAATTATTTATAACATTAGCTGAAAATTTAAAAAATTAATTTTAAATTGTAAGCCAATAGCTTGTAATTTTTCACTACTATTTGGAAAATTAACAAAAAAATATTTAAAAATTTTCATCATGTTAATTGAAAATTTATTAAAATCTATTGTAAACTTTAAATTAATCAACACAAGATAATTTATTGTAAATAAAGATCATAATTTGTTATTAAAATTTTAATGTTCTTATAGAATCTTTAATTGTCATTTTTTCTTTATCTTTTATCATGAAAAAAGGAAAAATAAATGTAACGATAGAGAGGGGGGGGGGGAAGAGTTCTCTTAGACGAAGAATGATCTCAAAGAATGTTTCAAACAGCATCTAGTGTCTCATGCTGGGTTGAAAAAATTCTAGCAAGTTAATAATACCTTAAGCAATAACACTACAGCATTTTAAGGTTATGAAAAATTATCTTTGCAACAAGATGAAAAAGTGTTGTCTAATATAAAAATAGACAATAGCTTTTTAAGTGTAATTCTTAACTCTTACTTTAAGCAATAAATATTGAGAAATATTAAAAACTCATTGCTTGTTGTAAAATAGGCGACAGTTTTTTACTTTTTGGCATTCTATTTATTAAATAAGCAATAATTTTATGAATGTCGCATAATTGGCAGCATAGAATAACCGTTGCTTCTAGGAATTATATCTTATCTCAAATTGGCATTTGGAATTTAATTTTAATATGAAGGTAAAAAATGTTTTCTAAAAAAATGATGCCACTTCCTTTAAATTTATCTTTTCATAAATTTAAAAATAGAAAATGTAAAAAATTATAATACGTTTGGGTAAGAAAATTCATGATCTACTAACTATTATAGTTTTGTCTTTCAATAACATATTTTAAAAAAACCACATTTATTATTTTTTATCTTTTAAAAAGATAGCTTCTAATTCTTTAATTTCTTTTAAATTAAAAAATTTAAAAGTGAGAAAATAAAAAATATATTTAGATAAGAAAATTTAATTTCTTGATTATCTCCTAGCTTTATTTATCAAATTATCTGTATAAATCTCTTTTTATTTTTAAAATAAGAACATTTTATTAAAACTTAAAAAAAATTAAATTCAAATGTTCTTATTTTTTAAAGGAAACAAAATAATTAGTATAGAAAGCAAAACGCTAGACTTAGCAGAGGAGATCAGTGGACGATTGTTAATTCTTTCACTCGTTCGTTATTTGCTCAATCACACAACTTGTTCCCTCTTCGGGCAAAAGTGATGAAGCGGTGAAATCGATAGCAGAGGAGATCAGTAGACGATTCGCTTGTTTGACACAAGAATCATTTATCGAGAGGATCTGTATTTGATGACGTAGAACGCTTACTTTGATCGAGAGGTCGAACCCTTGCATCTTTCATCTCCGACCAAGAAATTTTCAAAGGCGAATGTTCTACAGCGAATAATTTGATTAGATGTGGAGCTTTTGGGGAAGACTGATCGAACTATAAAGCAAGCTCGAAATGGAAATCTGCAGGGTTTTAATTGCAAGAGGCGCTAAGTTTCTGAACGCCATCTCTTTTGATAGCTGAGCAAAGCAGTTATTTTCTCAGATCAGACACTGACCCTGTTGGAGAAAAGGGTGAATGAACATAATCTTGTTTCTTTTTCCTAAAATATTTGAATTTAATCCTACTTGTTTTATTGACTTCATTCTCTCTTTGATTGTGGGAAAAGATTGAAATTATCATATTTGTGATTCTTTGTCTAAACGGGATAAGATTGGTGGCTGTTGTTTTGCATTGTGAATATGAAAGATGTTGTTCTGTTCTCTACTTTTATCAGTGAATGAGCTTCTATGTACTGGGTGTTGGGTCCAAAGATTCTGTTTTGGCATATATCTCAACAGAACATAAGGCATAGCATTTATCCATTTTTAGCTAAATTATTTAATCCATATTAGGATATTTTTTTGGTAAGCTATCCATGTTCGGGCATTAAATTGAGGTTCTATTAATTTTTTTGGTCGGAATATCTATCGTTAATACAGCAGGACCAATTGTTGTTGCTTGTGCTACTATTTCAAGTCCATACGGGAATTGAACTCGTATGTTTCTGTGATCATGAAGAGATGATAGAATATGAAAGAACTATTGGTTTGTGGCTTTATCCCCAAGCAGATAGCCATCTTTATCTGAAGAAATACCTGGGAAAAATTAAATTTGATTGTGATTGTTAAGTTTGCAATATGATTTTAAATATTATCATTCCTGCATGATGAGCTTATATAAATTTTAATTTGCACCGTACGCTCCCAGACCAGATTTTTTTTTTTTTTTTGGGGGGGGGGGTGTTGTGGCGTAAACATAAAGTATGAGAATCCCATTTGGTTTGCAAGTTCAGTTAACAAACATATATTTTAACTTCTTGTTTTGGTGTTTCATTTCTCTCTCTCTGTTTTTTCCCTTTTCTATTAATTTTTGCATGCTTCTATCCAGCTTTTCCCTTTCTTTTTCACATTTTTGCGGATATGGTTTTCTTGTGTTACATCACTTTACTAATGATCCCAAATATCTTTGAATTGTGAATTACAAGATTGCCAATATATAGAAGTCGGGGACACTGATATATGCATATATAATAATGGTTTTTAGGGAATACTGATGAATGTCATTGATGGGCATTCTTCTTGATAAAGTCGTAAATTATAGATTGGAGGCCAGAGATTCAAGAAGTGAAGGCTAAAAATTTGCTGCTGAAAAATTATTGTCAACCACTCTACTAAATAGCCAAAAAAATGAGTTAAGTCACGACTCCTGACACTTAAATTTTGTGGATTGAATTGTATCATGCATGTTTTTGGGGGCTGTTCTGCTTTTAGTTGTAAGTGTAAAGAGGGTGGAAATTTGGGAGAACTTGGGATTACTTTAATTGAATAGTTGTTTGTTATTTTAACTTATGTTTCTTGATAGGTGGAATAAGCTTACTGGTTGAGAATCTAAAAGATAAGTCTATACCAATAAAAGTAAGCTGATTTGTTTTATGTGAATAGGAAATTGAGGCAGAGAAGGAACTAAAAAAAGCATTCAAGCTCTTTGACAAGAGTCCAAATGACTATATATAAGTAAGGTTTGTGTGTGTGTATTTGTCATGAATTTATTTCCATTAATATGATGCCTTCTTATTAACAAGTTTTGTATTGTTGCTTGTTCATATTAAATATTTCTAATAACATTTAACTATTTTTTTGGGGCTAAAGCTTCTTTTGAAAATGCTTGTAGTTGGCAGGAGGATGTCAAAAATAAAAAATGATTTGTTTAAGGATAGTTGGTATTCTGTGTATATTTGATTATGGGTTGGGTTGTTAGTTTTTCTGAACTTTATGTGCTGTAAAAAGTTGCTGTATTGGAATTTGTTGGTGTACTAGAATGATGTTGTAAACACACTGTTAAATTCATTGTATTTTGAATGGTGAGAATATTTTTTGAGTTATGTAACGCTTAGATCGTTTCCATATTTATATGTAATGATTGTATATGTATTATTTTTTTATGCATCCAATTAAAATATATATATATATATATATATATTTTAAGGATTGGCAGCAGGTATAAACTGTTGGCATAGACAGGCAGCAGTTTGTAATTGTTGCTAAGTTTGGCAACAGGTTGAAACCGTTGCTTATTACCACCTTAAACCCATTGCCTATAGTCTCATTCTAGGCAATGGTTTTATGGTTAGTGGCCTAAAATATGAGAAAATCATTGCCTTATGCTGTAGGCCACAGTTTTCACCTTATTGCAATGGTTTTTGACTGATGGCACACAAAAAAAAAAAAAATGTTGTTATGTAAGATGAAGGCACTCGCTCTCATTTGGAATGAACATTTCTAAGATCATTTCTTTATTATTAGTTGTATCATAAAGATAATTGATCTTATCATTCTACTCTTGGTCATAGTTCTCAAACACATTTTGAAATAAGCTAATAATTATATCTAGCTTGCTTAACATGCTTATTTCAAACGAAAATAGATGATTATCAGATTATGGTTTAGACTTGGCCATAGATGTGGCGGGTTTTCTGCTTTCTAATCTAAACTAATGTCGTTTTCTCTTGTATAGTGTTGATTATGGCTTTGTATTTTTTTTTTTAAAGTAGAGTTTGCTTTTAGTGAATTTACATTCACCAAAAAAAATGTTTTTACTTTTTATATGATTATACAAAATTTCATAACTTTATTCTTATAAAAAAATGGGGAATGATTTTTTTTTTTTAAACTTTCGTGTGTTTTTTGACTTTTTTCAAACCCACTTATCCATATGAGTGCATGAAAGGAAAGGAGGCCTCTTCATTTTTTTTTCTCTCAATTTTCTTTCATTTTTTTCAATTTCGATCATTCAAATTATTTTATTAAATAAATTTTTTAAATAATAAAATTAATAAATAATAAGGATAAAAAAATAGAGTAAAATGAAAAAAAAAAAAAGAAGTTGAAAGATCTCAAATCTGCATGAAAGATACCAGCCAAAAGGGGGGTATTGGGAGAGAGACTCAATTCACGAGGTTCGAGAAGCTTTTTGATATTTAGAGTGTGTGTGGTTCAAGAGAAAAGAAAAGAAAAGAAAGGAAAGGGAGGTGAGGGGAGAGGAGGGAAGGAAGGGAGAGGAGAAGGAGAGGAAGATGAGGGGAGTGGAACTCCCCCTCAATTTAAAAGGGAGGTTTTGGAGAGAAAGGAAGGGAAAATTTTAAAAATTTTTCCTCCCCTTCTCTTAACTAAAGGAGAGGAGGGGAGGAGAGTCCCTCTTCTTTTCTCTCTTCCCTCTGACTAAACATACCCTTAATGTGAAGTAATGTAAAATCATAATTCAGATAGACGGTAAATATTCTCGCAGTACACTACCATACAGGTTTCTTTCTTTCTTTTTTTTATTGGAGCTTGTCAGACAACCAAGTCATCATCCCATACAGTTGAACGCTTGAACTGCCTGGGGACGAGCCTCTGCGGCCAGGCTGAAATGGAAGATTGACAACCAAGACTGCCATACAAGTTTATTTCTTTTTTATTTTTTTATTGGAGCTCGTCAGACAATCAAAAATCTGTTTCAATTTTAATTGGACATAATTAATTAATATAATTCATTTTAATTATAATTTGTTGTGTTATAATACAATTTATTTGGATATTATTTTTTTAAAATTAATTTTAATATAATTGAAGATATTTAAATAATTTAATCAAAATTAATTTTAACTATATAAATTACTATAGAAAATATTGCTTTTTAAAATTAAATTAGCAATATATTTGTATATAATATTATTAAATTTGTTAAATTTTATCTAAGAAGTAAAATATATTATTTAAATTACACATATGATTAATTATAAAAATTTAAATTATATTAATATTAACAATTTAATATACATAAATAAATAACTTAATTCTTAAATGATATTAATATTTGAAGAGTGTGTATAGTTTTATCGTATTGAAAATAAGTGGCTCATAATATCCATAAAAAGCTATACATGTGTGTGAAATGAGAATTTTGGCAAATGTTTCAATACTTTCATAATATGTCCATTTAAAGGCCGAAAATGTAATATACACACACACTTTAATAAAAAAAATTTTAAAGTTAGGAGGTGTCATGACCTTCCTCGATCTCCTGTAATTTTTAATTGTGAATTCAATTCAGCTCATAATCTCATAAAAAATTATAATAAAATCTCACATGAAAAATTAATTTCTACAAGAATGTAATTCTCCCTAATCTCAAATTGGTAATAGCTACCCTGTAATAATAATAATAATATAAACAAGGTCGAAAGTTGAACAAGCCCCAAGACCCTAACACAAGTCAGAATTGGGCGAGGAATAAATTATATTCACGAGTTTTACTGATGAGGACGCGACAGTCAATTTATGTCCTGTCAGTTGGCATCCTACTATAATACTTCCTCAATTTTAAATTTTAAATTATAAAATACTTTTTAAAATATTTTTATTTTAAAATATAAAATATTTTAAGAAAATTAAAATTTTATTATCCTTTATTTCTCTCTATCTAATACTAATTAAGTATACATTTAATATTATTAAATAAAAAATATTTTAAAAGTTTATATTTTTATTTTTAAAAAATTATTAAATATATTTAATAAAATTTATTAATATATAAAAAAATTTTTAAAAGTGTTTTACATTAAAAAATCATTTGTATTACTAAAAGATATAAAAATAAGCACGGAGAGTCGTGATTCATTTTGTACAGATGCACAAGATCTGGTCCGGGTTCAATTAAAACTAAGTGAACCATTTAAACACTATAAAATTGAATTGGGTGAGAGTTAGTAAGGCAACCATCGTATTTTCGGCGGAGACATCGGACAAGTGGTTGGTACGTGGCAGATAAACAGCGAGTGCCCAATAGACAAACATTATTACATGTGCGTGATTGCAGTGAATTCCGGTGAACCATAAGAAGGAGAATCAATTGCTGGTAAGAGAAGAAATTAATTATAAGAGGTGGAGGCAACAAGACACGCAAACCTTTAATGTGATGGGAGGAGGAAATGGCGACAGGTGGAAGTTATTGCCGGAGACGCAGGGGCAAGTGATTGCTCATTGCTTGCGTCGTGTCGTCATCACCGACCCACCCTCGTCTTCCGTAAGTGATTCGCCATTCAACCCAGCCGATATCTTCGGCCCCTGTTCTTGCGCGTCGCCCTTCCGCTCTACCACATTTTTACACTATTCATTAAATATATCTTAAAATATTTTTTAAAATTTTATCTCTATTAAAAATAAAAAAATAGAAATATATAGTATACAATAAGTTATAAAATTTTAAAAAATAGTAATAAATGACGGATTTTAAAATATACCCTGTTAAATACCAGAGGGAATTCGGAATCCATGCCTCACAATTCTTTTGAGTTAGGATGATCCATTTTCAAGCTGCAAGACCAAAAAAAAAAAAAATTATAAACAAGTTATTCTAATGGAAGGGTCGCCTTCCTTATCCCCGACCCTCGTTTTAACGTATGTCATTTTTTAATTTACGCTTTTAAACAAGAAATTAGTTAAAATTTTCATATTTTTTTAATTGCACCTCCAATGGAATAAATATATGAAAAAACTAATATTTTATTCTTTCAATTTTTAAGTCAGTTGTCACTCAATCCTTCAATTATAATTCGGTGCGACTCAATCTCTCAATTATTACTCGACTCAGTCCCTCAACTTTTAATTAACTCATAATTCAATCATTATTTTTAATTTTTTTAAAAAAATTTCCTATCAATAACAAAGATAAAAGAAATGCTAATATATTATTTTAAAATATCCTCTTCTTACTCTTTGATGTGAGATATAATTAAGAAAAAAAAAAGTTAACAAAAGTTGAGAGACTAAATTATAAGAGAGTCAAAAGTTGAGGGATTGAATCGCAACGAATCATAGTTGAGGAATTAAGTTATAAATGAATTAAAAATTAAAAAATTAAAAAATTAATTTTTCCTAAATATATTATTTGGCCAAGTATCCTAACAAATCTAATATATTATTACCACCAACTTAAACTAATATGAATCTTTATTATATGAGATTGTTATTACTAATAACAATCTCATAAGTATTTGAATAATATCTTTGATGTGTTTATTTAATATGATTGTGTATCTTATTACTCGAATTTGACATCACAAGATAAATTGGTTTGACTTTCCAATTAAACCAAACATCTATGATTCTTTCTACCAACTCTTTACACTTCTAATCTTAAAATATACTTTTAATCCTCTAATTTTATATAAGATTTTAATTTGATCAGTTAATTTATGAAGTATTTTTTTAATTTTTTAACTCTAATATCGTTAGTCTTAGATAATTTTTTTTATATCAATCATTATTATTTTAAAAAATTAATCTTAATATGTTAATACTTGAAAATATTTTATCAATATTTCAAAATTCAGTGTAAAAATTTATTGGGATAAAATTAATAATGTTAGATTAAATAATTAAAAAGATATTTTATAAAGTTAAGAGATTATGTACAGCTAAAAAATTAAATGTATAATTTAGTCATTAATTTATTATACACATACCTATCCACCAATACGGAATTGATGCTTGGCGGTCCTTTTGCGGTAGGATGAACCATTTGGAGCTTCAAGACGAAAAGAAAGGCATGTTTTCTTTACAAAATCGATCTTCATTAAGTTTTTTTTTTTTTTTGGGCCTGTCGATTTTCATTAAATGGAATATGGAAATCACACTGATTTTTGCTTTCAGTATAGAAAAAAAGAGCACCTTGGCCCCATGTTCGAGAGCAACAATAGCATGGATTAGAACTTTACGTGTTCGCAATGGCCTGTCCTCGATCCCAATAATACACATCAATCTTTTTCCATCATCGCAGCGACATGGCATAATTAATTAAGTGCTTTTTCACTGGTTCTCCCCCCTCTTTTCTTTCAGGAGATCGGATCCTAATGAGAGCCTATCCTAATTT